CGAACTGGAGCACACCTGAGGCACCGCGGTACGGGGACGATTCTCCCTAAGGGCTCTTGCTAAAAGACTACCTGGTTTGTTACCATTCGTAGAAGTGTTGGCGCAGCCAGGCATGGCAAGCTTTCACCTTATCCAGGATAAAGGCCTGCAGTTGTTCTCGGAGGGTCAAGAGTTCTGACAGAGTTGACTGGGCTAGGGACCGTTTGTGGCTTTGCTCTAGGACCCGGATGCGGCTGGTCAAGTCTACTATAGTGGCTAATCGGAGCTTCTTGAGTCGGGAGACCTGGGAAATCAAAAGACCCCGGAGCACACATTTGTGAGCTTCCCACACTGAAAGAGGTCTCGCCTCCGGAGTCTGGTTAGTCTCAAAATAAGTACGTATTTCTGTCTCTAGCACCGCCCTGACCCCTTCGTCCTGTAGCATAGACTCATTAAGCCGCCATTGCCATGTCCGGAAAGTGTCGCCACCGAGTCGGATCTCCATGGCCACTGGGGAGTGATCTGATATCGTGCAGATCTCTATCGAGATGGCCACCACCCTATGCAAGTCAGACTGTCGCAGCAGGAAATAATCCAGTCGTGAGTAGGACTGGTGTGGTGTTGAGAAAAATGTGTAGTCCCTAGCATGGCCATGGAGAAGGTTTCTTGTTTCTTACCATATATATAATTTGACTATTCATTTTTGAGGGTACTGCTGCACATTTATAACCATTTTGTAAGGAGTCAGTCACACATTTGCTGCTGTAAATTAAAAGAATGTTTACCTGCATGCAACATATGAACCGTTCATGGCAATTTTTATACATACATTATATATAATATATGGTGGAATTCCAACATATTTACAAATACCTTGCCTATTAACACCTAATCTAACACCTATTAACTACCTATTTACAAAAAGATTTGTCTATATAGGAGCGGGGACAAACACCTTTTACTACGGTTGTCATACGTTCATGTTTGGTATCGATCTTTATAAACACTTGATGTTATAGATATTGGTTATGACATCTTTCACATACATCACGTTGCAAGAATGTTCCTATGAACATGTGTTCCTAGGATGTCATGCTCGACTCAATCAAATTCACTCAATAAATTCAGTCAATAAAAGCACAGATAAGTTTTCCTGATGCTTGTTGATGCAATTTGCTAGCAGGGTTTTCAGTGTGATGATGCTTCTGCGGACTTTTAGCTGAAAGCCATATATTTCAATGAACGGATTTTGTCTTGAAGTTCTGAACGTATGTGGTGGTAGTCTACTTTTGATAAAACCTTAATCACATGTGGTATCAGGGCTAATGTCTTAATCTGAGCAAACTTTTTTTTTTTTACCTTGTTTCCTGCTCTTTTAATGTATTTGATTGGCATTTCATTAATGTCTGTAGCATTGTTACCCAAGCTTTGTAATGCTTTTATTAGCTCATAAAATTTGTTATCTCTACAGCCTCAGGTTGTGGGACATCCTTTTTGGGGGTTTCCACTTCCATTTAGTTTTTCCATGTATTCTTTTCATGTGCTGTGTATCTTTATCTCTGTGGTTAACACCTTTCCTTTATTTTCAATTCCATTTCCAGCAAAACAAATTGGTTTTTGTTTTTTTTATATCATATGTATGTTTTCCATGTTTGTTATCTCTTTTGTGTATTTCATGGTATAAATGATACAAATATTTAGCTTTTGCTCATCGCCATATTCTTCTGATCACTTTTATTCCACTTCCGTTCATTTTGTCATTTTCCAAGGGTCCACATATACTGTCGTCTTAGTGCCAATTCAAGCA